TTATTTCATTTATCTCTACTCTAATCTTTATTTTTTCCTTCCCTCAACTAGGTTTGGGTTTCATTTTCTCTTCTTTTTCTCTTCCCTTAAGGTATAAAACTAAATTATTGATTTGAGATCTTCCTTCTTTTTTAATGTAGGCATTTAGAACTATAAATTTCCCTCTGAATGCTGATTTCACTGTATCCCATAATATGTTGTGTTTTCATTTTTATTTATCTCAAAGTATTTTCTGATTTCACTAGTGATTTATTCTCTGATGCATTGGCTCAGAGTGCTCACAGTGTATTGTTTGATTTCCACATAGTAGTGAAATTTCTGGTTTTCATTCCATTATTGATTTCTAGCTTCATTTCAATGTGTTCAGAGAACAGACTGTATTATTTCAATCTTTTAAAATTTATTGAGAATTGTTTTATGGTGTAACGTGGTCTAGCCTAGAGAATCTTCCATATGCACTTGAGAAGAATGTGTATTTGCTGATGTTTGGTTGTAACTTTTTCTTTCATTATCTCTTCTGTATGTGTTTTCTGGTTTGGTACTTTCATTATTCCTAGATTAGTTCTCTGTAGTTGTGCTCATCTCTTTGTTCACCTTTCCCACATGTTATTTTAATTCTTTCAACATACATTCCTCTTACAGATAAAATCTTTGTAGTTCTGTATGTGCACGAGTGTATGTGTACTTCGTTGTGTTTTGTTGGTTATACTCACACTATTGGAAAAACATTTATTGATGCTTAGAATTGAACATATTCTTATTTTTCAAGATTGTTTCTTCAGTGAGTTTAATATGGAGGAACTGCCCATTTCTATGGATCACTTCATTACCCCTCCACCCAGTTATCGGTTTTTCATTCATCATATATTTACAGCACTAACAATGTGCCAAGCTCTATGGTAATAACTGTGTGTAGATACTCTCTGTCTGAAGAGTAAGACGTACATGTAAACCAAATGACTGTAACAAAATATGATAAGTGCCAAATATGGACATTTACAAAGCACCATAGAAGAACGATGGAAGGAGAGCCTTTTTTGAACTGTTTAGTGCATTAACAAGTGAAGATATAAATGCATTAGCATATATGTACTTTATATCGAAATTTTTCTATCAATTCAAGTTGAAAATTCTCTTGGAATTCTCTATAATATCTTAGTATAGAGCTAAATTTAATTGCTAGATATAGTTTCAGTTTATTATTTCTAAAATGCACAGCTCTTAAATGATTATACTCTATGAGTATTGTATTTTTCTACATAATTCAATTATGTGTTATGAAACTATCAACTGCTTATGCACTGAGCACAAAAAAAAATTGAATAAGGCTTGTATTTGGAAAATAACCAAGTTATACAGTACTATGTAAATTATTTCAAGTGTTCCGCAATGAAATAGAATAAATAGATCATAAGCATATAATATTAGTGCAAATAAAACATGGATGACATTGTAATAACAAACAAATGTTAACAATTTCAGTTAAACTTGATTTTACAGACATATCCTGATAAATTTCGTGCCAGCCACTGCAGTCATATGATTAACCCAAATTAATAAAACCAGCATAAAGTATAAAATTTAAACTTTGTCCCTGAAATGTATATTTTTAAACTTTTATATGTGTGTGCATATATTTTAAAGGAAAAATTGCTCTTTTTACTGTCTTCTCCATTCTTTCCTTCTATTTTCCCTCCCTATCCCTAATGCATAATGTGTTTATTTAGTTATTTCTAAAACTCCCCTATCAAATCTAGTCTGCAAAAAAGATCTGTTATTCATCTTACTCAACTTGGTTGCAATTTTAATCCACTATATTATTTCTTGATGTTATTTACAGGCTATATCATGCTTATAATTAGTGATTTAAGCCTCTAAGCAAACTTGTTCCTCCAATACTATAATAATAAAAGGCCTTTTTCCAAGATAAAGAAATGACTTGGAAAGAAGAAAGCATCAACAAAGCCCATTTTGAGCCCTTTTCAGTCTGTGTTGGAGAGACAGGATTCTTTCTTTCTACTGGTGAACCCAATACCATTCCAAGTATTTTCTTTAGGTAACTGATCAGCAGAAATCTCTCCCCTTTCTACATCCTAAGTATTCTTTTTCTTTCTTGAACTCTTCCCCTTTAAAGAGAAACATGGGGGGCCGGCCCCAAGGTGTGGTAGTTAAGTTCAGCATGCTCTGCTTTAGCAACCCAGGTTTGCAGGTTCAGATCCTGGGCACGGACTTACACCACCCACTAGCCACGCTGTGGTGGTGACTCACATACAAAATAGAGGAAGATTGGCACAGATGTTAGCTCAGGGTGAATCTTCCTCAGCAAAAAAAAAAAGAGAGAGAGAGAGAGAGAAACGTGAAGGCAGCATAGTATAGTTGAAGGAATTAGGCTTTGAAGTAAGTTTCTGCTTCAAAAGCTTGGACAAGATACCTAAAATTTTAGCACCTCAGTCAGTCTTCTTTTTAAAGGAGGGACATTATAATCTACTTCATGGACGTAAGAAGTAAAGAAATTGCAACATGCTTATTATGTTGCTTGACATAAAGTAGTTCCCCCTGTAGTTGTTCAAATTTCTGGGTTAATATATTAATAATAATTATGATAGGGGGCCAGCCCGGTGGCATAGTGGTTAAGTTCATTCACTCCAGTTCGGCTGCCTGGGCTTTGCCACTTTTGATCCCAGGCACGGACCTGCACACACTCATCAAGCCATGCTGTGGTGGTGTCCCACATACAAAATAGGGGAAGATTGGCATAGATGTTAGCTCAGCGACAATCTTCCTCAAGCAAAAGAAAAAGATTGGCAAGAGCTGTTAGCTCAGAGCCAATCTTCCTCACACACACAAAAATTAATAATAATAATAATTATTATTATCATGATAATAATAACTCACCTGTCTCTCCAGCTACCTTAATCTCTCTCTCTTCTTCAAAATTTGGTCTACACTCAGTTCTTCCTCTTTCTTACTTCTTATTCCCATTTTAATCTGATTTTACTCCAAAGCAACTCTTCACTGAATACACTGAATTCATTAGTGTCAGTGACCTTCTGCTAGTCAAATTCACTCAACGTGTTTTAGACTTATCTGTGTATATTTGATACCATAATCCAAAATGGCTGTGTGTATGTGTGTGTCATATGCATATTGAAATTCTTCTCTTTTCCTTTTAAGACATTGTTCTCTACCAGTTTCCTTCCTAATTCTCTGAGCATTCTAATTATTCCCTTTTATCTTACAAATCCTGCAATTTTAATATTTTTAAGGATTCTGTCTTCTGTTCTCTTATTCATCCACCTAATTTATCTAGGAGGTAAGTTCTAGATCTATGTTTTATTATCTAGTAGCTAATGATTCTGATATTTATATTGACAGTCTCTACTATTCATCTATGCTCCATATACTTATTTCTATTGGTCTACTAAAGATCATATTGATATCACAATAAACTTCTTAATAACTAAATAACTTAAACTATATTCGTTTTTTCTATTTTTCTTCTATCTTTTCTTTGCTTTTATTAATGGCAACATTATCCACTTAAAGTGTCAAAGCAGAAAAACATAAATATTATCTTAAATTATTCTTTTATTTCTATTTGCTACATATGTTCATCAAGCCCATTGGTTTTATCTCTCAAACATCCTTTTACTCTCTCTCTTTTTCCTCTGTTGCTACTGCCTTATTTTGGAGTGATCTAATCATATCTTATCTGGACTATTTCAGTAGCCTCCTAACTTTTCTCCTTGCCTTTGGTTATTTCCACCTTCCAATTCATCCTCCACAAAGATGCCATATATTTCTGAAGTATAAATAAGGTCATATTAATAATAAAAATAGCTAGCAGTTATATAGCACACATTAAATGCCAGGCATTATTCTAAGAGTTTCACACATGTCTATGACCTCACAACACTATAGTGGCTTGCTATAGCCTATGAGATAAAGGCACATTGTATTAACATGGCCTACAAGGCCCTTTTCATCTCAGCCTCAAACTATATTTCTATCTGTACCTACACTGACATTGAAACAGCTCACTGTCACTGAACACACTGTGTTCTTTCATCCCTCGAGGTCATTGCAAAATCTATTCTTTTTGGCTAGGATTCTTGCTCCATCTCATCTGGCTGGGAAACTCCTATCCATACTTCAAGATTCAGCTCAAATGTTAACTCAGCTACTTAATCAGTTCTGCTAGAGAGGATCGTCTTGCTGTTTTCTATAACAACTTGTATATGGCTCTTTTATAATGCCTCCATTTTGTGTTGCCATTATCTTTTCTGTGTATTCTGTTGCCCTCCACTATACTGAGCTAGTTGAATACAAGGACTATATTTTATATATATTATTTGCACCTCTAAGGCCTGGTGCAGTATGCGACAGAGTGGATTCTCAATAAAACTTTCCTAAATGAATGAGTGGACTAAATACACAAAGCTAATCTACCTTGTCACAAAGTGTGCTCAGCCTAGTTTGTGTATTCAAAAAGCAGTAACCAAATTGCCCCACGTGATTTAAATCAAGAAAATTAACTTTGTTATAAAACACACTAATGGTAGTGAATGAGGGGTCTGTCTCTTTCTTTCCTTCTCTCTGTCTAACAAAGCATTAAGATCGTCTTTGTTTATCTAAAAACAACAATTAAAAAAACACAGAAAACCTAGAAATACGGTATCGTTATATTCTAGATGAAAACTTCTAAGAGTATTTTTCTTATGCTGGAGACAAATGTTGAGAAGCAAAATGATTTAACAGAAAGAAGACTGAATGTATTTCCAGAAGATCTGAGACCAGCTTATATCCCTTATTAACAGCACGGCACTGCCTCTGTATTTTACCTTCCTAACCCTCAGTTTCCTCACCTACAAGGTGAAGCCAATACTCCCTGTCCCACACACCACAAATTGCTGGTATGAGTATCAAGAGAGATAAAGCTTTTGAAAGTATGCTATGAAACACAATGTGCTGAACAACAAAGTGTGTAGTTATTCACTCACCAAACACAGTTCTTGCAGGCACAGACTCTCTGTTAAGCCAGAATGACACTTGGGAGAGAATGACAGTCATGATGCAAGGCAGATATGTCTGAATCACAAAATACCCAATTTTTCTTTTCAAGTGGAAATGAGCTGTCATTACGGTATATTCACCTGGGGGAAAAATTTAAGAAGCTTAAAGAACTGTAACAGTCAATGGTTTGAACATTTTGGAAATGGAAGGGATTAGAGAAAGAACAGTCCATGATTTAAAAAAAAGAATTTATCACATATGATATGAAAAGTAAATAACCTTTAAATGCCTTCTCAGCATTGCAAAAGTATTTAAAAGAGAATTTCAAAATTACCAAGAAATTTGCACTGCATGTCCTATGGTAAGGTATTCATTTTTCTCTCTAGGTCATGCTTATTGACCAAGCGGGTACAGAATTCATAAATGCTCTCTGCCATAGATTATTGTACTTGCTCAAGCCCCTCACCCCCACTGGTACAAACCTCAAGCCTCTGTTCAGCTCAGTCCAGTTCTCTCTGGCTCTTTAAAGCATTGCTCTCTGGCCACATCTCCAAGACTGATTTGCTGGCCCAGATTTTCCACTTCTAACCCCAGAATTGTCACCAATTCTTAATTTCTCAATGTTGTATGTCCACTCTAATTCACTTTAGTCAGTTCTATTTGATCCTCAGAGCTACTTTCCTTTCTGCTCTCTGGGTTTACATCTGCCAGATGTAAGATCATTAGTCCACACAGCGGCTTTTTCTTAGATGAGTGTGGCCCTTAGAAAGGGCGTCAGCTTTCCCACACAAGCCAGCAGTAATTATGCATAACTCAAGAATTGAATAATAATTAATTATCCAGAATAGGGAGAAAAGAATTAGAAAACTACAAAAATTGTAACACTGTTTGAAGATAAAATCGGCTTGTCTGAGAAGATACACACTTTTTGAATATGTAGCATATTTTAGACCAGTGTTTCTCAAACTTTAATACACACTTTGGAATCTCCTGGGCATCTTGTTAAAATGCAAATCCTGATTTAGTAAGGGGTCAGACCTGAGATTCTGAATTTCTGGAAAGCTCCCAAGCACAGTCTATGCTGCTAGTTCTTGGACCCCAAGAGCAAAAGGCTTTAAGCAAACTGACATCTCCAATGACTTTAAACCATTAATTTACTTAGGAATTAGCTTTTCTTTAGACTCATTTTACTAACCTGTACTGGATTTAATTGTCTCCTTCCCAATTGACTGGCCCAGCAGATCATATTGATTTAACCTGGAGCCATCAGGAGCAACCTGTACTGAATCAGATGCATTGTAAGTCCAAATATAAGTGACCTCTGAGGTCGTATAAGCATCTGTAAGAAATCAGAAAAAAAATCTTTTTTAAGCACTTTAGTAAGAATAATCAATAAAGTGCAACATCAAAGGTTGTGTATTTCATAGAATCATTGATTACTATAAAACTGATATTTACAGATCTAGTTTTTTAGAGTAAAAATGTGTCGTTGAAATTTACAACTTCAATAGGAAGAGTGTGAAGCACACCAGTGACAACATGACCATGAGAGTATTTTCACGGCAACCACTTTAAGAGGTGAAGAGTGAATTCCTTAGAATCTGCAAAAATCACCAGGCCCTGAGATGGTTAAAACATTTCCCATTGTCCCAAGGTAGTAGAGGAAGACAGGTTATGAATGCCCAAAGCCTATTTGAATAGTTTATTTAGAAATAGCAATTTGCTCATGAAATAACAATCATAATTTAAAATGATATTGCTTTCTGGACACAAAAGTAACTTAGTTTATGTCTAAGTAACTTAGTTTCTTAGACATAAAAGTGACTTAGTTATCTTGATACAATGCATTTCATTAGAAGGAGAACTAATTAGTGCAGAACATGGAAAGTAAATGAGAATGCTATAGTTTCATCAAGCTGCAAACACTTTCAAAAACACATTCATTTTAAAATTAATTAATGCACACAGATCTCACTGGACTATACTTTCATAGCATCACAGTTAAGTTATGGATTGGCAGGAAGAGACAAAACATATATAGACCAGGTGTGACTTCTTGATTTATTTGGCCAAGGATGCAGAACGTAGCAGAAGTGAGATGACTCTAGAGCTGCAGGGCAGGCAACATGACTTGTCTTAGCCCTTCTCTGACCCTGGCATTTCCCTTGTGCTTGTGTGTGCTGATGGGGAACAGCTGCCCTCTCCACGCAGGCAGTCTCTCCACAGTTGAATAAACAGACAATTCTTGCTATACTACTGACCTTTTGGAGAACTTCTATGCACTTTTGCTCATGGGAATGTTGAGAAATATTAGTCCCGGCCCTTGAGCAACACTCAGCATCACAGTTACATTCCTAATCCAGGGAGAGAAATGACCAGCTGTCTCTGGCAATATCTCTGCCTTTAGCTCTCCAGGACGCTGGAAAACTCATCTCACGTCCCTGCTATCTATAAGTTTTCTAGTTCAATACTATTGTCCTGGGGTGGTCCTGGTTTTCTGAATGTTGCTACTAAAGCTTAATCAGTGAAATACTGTTTTCATTACACATGTATTCACCTACAATCACAAGTAAATTACGTTATGTGGAACAATTTTTGAAACAGGATTCTAAAAATATATATGTGCAGGTATACCTTTATATACATGTCCATATATATTAATTAATTTCAACTAGTTAATCATTGATTCTGCTGTTATGATTAACAAGTAACATTAGTAATGGGGATAACCAGCAATCCATTCGCAGATCATCAAGTGGCTTGTTTTGTTTTCTCCATGAATACGTACCATGGCCCTCTCCAATAAAATTTCAAATGGCACAGAATTTAATAAATCAAAAAGACATATCACATGCGCCACTTTATATCAGAAGGCCTCACGATACTCAATAGTTGCGAATCTTATTATGAAGTTTTTTTTTAAGTAAGTATAATAATTCCACTTTTGAATTTTGATGTTTACTTTTAAACATAAATAAAAGAAAATGCAGTGACATAAAGAACCTAGTGAGACACTGATGGGCAGGGACCCTGTCATATTCATATCTATACTTTTTGTACCTGGTACAGTTCCTGACACACATAAAAAGTTTTCTGTTCATTCTTGCTAGATTAATCAATAAACTCATAATATTTTATTTATGTTATTTACTGTTATAGAAGATGGAAATCTGGATAGGAGTCCAATCATACATTAAAGAAAATGATGGATCTTTCCCGCGTGTTTTTAAAAAAGCAATTATTGCATTCCATTAGTTAGGATATGTTTTTTTAGATTTTGGGTCTGGTGAGAGAAGACATAGAAGAAAGTATGCAACGCAGATCGGAGGTGCTCCCTGGTACACTCACACATACATAAACCGGGTCATTGCAATGCTTCTCAATAAAGAATAAAAGGAGAGAAAGTTTGTTTTACAAATTCATTATAAATTCCATTTCTAAATTAGGTTTTCATTAAATAATTTTATTTAATTCTGTTAAATAACCCATTTTGACTCCTATTCTGCATTAAACATCAAATGCATAATGACTTATTCTTAATATTTGGTAACCAAAAAAATCCCCAAATGATTTTTAATTATGAATTTTTATCCAAAAAGATAATTTACAACTTCTTTGGGCTAAAGAACAGAATACTCCTAGGCTCCCATTCAGGAAGTTTTAAATCAGGTAAAACAGCAAGGAAATACATAAAGATGTGAGGCAATAGGAATAAAACAAAACAAAACTGAATTCAAAATTGTCAATTTATAGAAAAGATCTTTCTTTTATTTGAGGAGAATGATAAAGTTCCAGAAATTCCATCATTTGGGAGGAGAGAAGAAGGCTTTTAAGCAAGAGAGAAATAAATGACTAGAAGAAAAAGTCATGGCTGTTTCTGCCAAAATTTGTTGTGCTATCATTTTAAGGTTTAGATTGGCTTGTTATCTATTACTCCATGCTGGTATCCTTGCTTTTAACACTTACGCATCAAGCACCTACTTTAGGCAAGGATAAATAGAAGAATATACAAATTGTTAATTCAATATGTCAGAAAATAAACATGAAGAAAACTAAATAAAAAACAATTACACAGAGAATGCCTAACAACAAACCTTGTGTGTTGCTAATATCACTTCTAGATATAGAAACCATATTGTCAAGCATGCAATAGTCCACTACGTGGGTACACTATAAGGGATTTTTAAATGTCACTTAAAATATTTTCAGGTGTATTTAATTAATATTCAGAATTGAGACATCACATCATTTATATTTGGTGTCTTAATGGCACTAACTTGTCCACTGAAAAATGCCTTTCCTTCTTACACCATTACTGCTTCTTGAATAAATCTTTTCTTTGGTATCAAGGCTTTTCAAAGTTCTCTTTAATGCCACTTATGCAATGCAAATGAGTCTTTCTCTTCTGCATCTGCTGTAGTTTTCTCAGCATCATGTTTATGTTGTATAACATGATTGACTATCTTAAATAATTTTGGAAGAAATGCCAGTATTGAAGTGATGGTTTCCATGACAATAAAAGAAAGCTTTGTAGTTAAACAAAGAAGAGATTCTCAAAGAGAATTGAGAGATGACACCTTTTGTGAGAATGAACAGAACAAACAAAATCGAACTTCTTTTTCCACAAAACTATGGTCATGAAAATAATTACAGGGTTTTACATTCATATTAGTCATCATTCTTCCCTTTTCTTTCACTTGATACAGTCTGTGGGGAGAAGGCACACTATTCAGTCATACACATTTTTAATCAGGTGGGAGAACTGCATTTCTATTCAAGAGAATGAAAAGTCAAAAGCTGTCCTGAATGGACAAGGATGGGGTGCCAGAAAGAGCGAGGTTTCTGAAAAGGTCAGGTGATGAAACACGCTCACACAAGAGAGAAGCTGTTTCGCTGTGCCCATGAATTTATCCTGAACCTGCCCTGAATGCCTGTGGGCCTAGGGAGATGATCTGACCTTCCCGTTTTTCAATTATTCTGGGAGAGTGAATGCTTCTGCTTGACATACAAGACGAAACCTCAGTGACCTAAAGAATGGCCAAATGCACAGAGCCTTTTCTGAAATTTTCTATGTACACAGAAGGTGCCTGCATGTAGCAATCAGCTACATCATACCCTCGAAATTTATTTTAGGAAACAAACAAAAGTCCCTTCCACTAGTTAGAAAGCAGAAAGATAATTACACAGATCCAGCTTCTATGCCTGCCATTTGCAACAGGGTGACTGCTACTTGAATCAACAACAGAATCTATCCTTTACAATTCACGTATAGTTCATAAAAATGAAACATTTATTTTGCATTTCTAATGTGCTAGCACTTGGAAAAGAAGGCAAATGACATACTCCTGACCTTCAAGGAGCTCCTGGCCTAATTTTACACATGTACAAAAACACATGATGTTCTTTATTAGCAGTAAATAAGTGATAATTTAAACCTCGTGATTGCAATACAACGATATTTGTGAGGACAATAGGGCTAGCCAATTAGTTCTTTGAGGGAATAAGCATGTCTTTTACTTCTGTATCTTACTGGGCAAGTATTAAGTATTCCATAATATGAAAAGAAACTATACAATTAAGCTGTGCTGCTGCCCATCCCTGATATTACTGACCCAAAACATGTACCCTCATCCCCGTACTTACAGCTGCCAAATTTCAGAGGACATGAATGAGCATCCATTGGAAAATCCTCCAAGTGCATGGGACATTCAGCTTGAACTGTAAGCCTAAAAGTCAAAATTCCACTCTTTGTTTAAGTAAATTGGCAAGTCAAGATAAATCACTCCAATTAATGATGAGGTAAGACCTTCATTACAGCATCGTATTAGGCTAATTCACACTTAAGTATGTTTTTATTCTGTCACAGTTGGATGATCCTTCAGAAGACATACGCATATACAAATCTGAGCCCAAGTAACAATATTTATTTACAAATATACTTAACCATTTTGTACTCTGTGTTTTATTAAGAAGTAAAGTTATGCATGCATTTTTGAAGGGCTATTTTCCCATTAACCACACTATTAATAATTTACATCTTAGAGAAAAAATGAAAGAAAACTCTATCATTAAAAGAATGCCATTTTCCTCATTATCTCATCAACAACTATATAGCAAAACTTATATAAGAATTCAATATGGGCTCACAGGAGCTCCCTTCAGAAATATGTAAATTGTGAATGAGTATCATATACTGTATATAGATTCATGGATATAAATATAGAAATAGATATAGATTCATACATAGATGTATCTCCTGGAAATATCTTGTTGACATTAGACTGTTGGGTAAATTATGGACACAAATTATGAATGCTAAATAAATATGTTTTCTGTATCTACATGATCACAATAAAGGGTAATCTATAATGTCATCAATTATTCATTTCACACAAAGTCAAAGTGGATAAAAAAGGTACTAAATCGAACTTCTAGAAGAATCTCTATGATGACCAAAACAAATATGGTCAACAATTTATTTATAGCTTATATACTTCTAAGAGAGTATTTAAGGAGAACCCCATGCAATATTTTCAAAAACTCTATGTATTCTCTGTCTATATTTGTTTAAACTCAAAATTTCCAATCATTGTCTCAATCCACTGGAATGATCAAAGTGTAAAATCAACAGGGATACTGCATTTGTATTGCAAGATTCAGAGAGGGAGTCAGAAAGAATAGCTAATACTTCCATTTTAGGCAACGGCTATTTAGTGAGTCCTCAAGAGAGTTCTCTTTAAAGATCAGGACTGTATTATTGCCCCTTCTTAAATAAGTTTCACAACTGAAATCTACCACTAAACATTTCGTATGAAATAACAATACAACAAATGCTTGGAATACACATCTGTCTATATATATAATGCTGATGAAAGTTATTCATGCTTTAAAGTCTTTATTAAACACTTTAATTTTAAATTATACATCATTTTATTAGATTTGTGTTTGTTTTCTTTGTTACATGATAGAAGCAATTTATTTAAAAAAAATTAATTCATGGGAATAGTTAGAATAGTTGTTTTTAGATTCAACAACTGTATATTCCTTTAGCTAATTTTTTAAGGTTGAATCATATGAAATTGATGCTACATGACACTTTTTGATTTACAAAATGGCACCTTCATACGATTCAATCTAATACATATGCTTACAGTATCCAATACTTGTAAGGCTTATTAAATAAAAACCACCTCTCTGAACTTAAAAAATATATCTTTCTTTAGAGTATTTTAGAGTAGCTTCATAAGGAGGGTCAAATATTAAATTAAGTAAAAGCTTGATTAAAAATCACTTAAATTTTTGATGGGATATCTAATGACACATTAAAAATAAAACTTACATGCTAGTATAAAGAAAATTTTAAGTCATGCTATTAAACTGTACTTAATTAAAATGTGTTAAAAGTAAATAGCCAAAAAAATCAACTTTTAATAGTTAAGGTAATTCTTAAGTTTTAAGACACTAAGATGAGAACTAAACTCATAAATACTATTTTATCTTTGTTTTTTTAAATAGCCAAGCATTAACAAAACATACTATGCTACTTCAATAATCTGTTATGAAAATGTTCAACTTAACGCTAATACTTGACAACTAGGTTGGCCAGATTTTTAATAATGGATTTTTCAGTATTTAAATGCAACATACCAAACCTAAAAACATACCTCATTGTGTACAGCAGAGTACCATCATCCTGGATTCGAAGAAGCTTATTCGGCATTGTCATATTATGAGCCACAGATTTTTTCCCATTGTGAAAGAAGGTGTCTGGAGTCCAGATTTTGCTAGCCATTAAATTGTTAAGTCGAAGGATGTTCATAGGACCTTTAAATTTTAATCGTTCATCTTTCCATTTTTGTCGAAAGAAAACATCTATTGTATATTCCTGAAATATAAAATAGGAATAAAATAAAATAAAAATAAAATAAAATATTGTTTTCTTTTGAAAACAATAAATGCTTTTGATACAAGGACACTATAAAATTCCAATAAAAATAATAATATAAATATTTTAAAAAGAAAGAAAGCTAGGGCCGGCCCCGTGGCTTAGCGGTTAAGTGTGCGCGCTCCACTGCTGGCGGCCCGGGTTCGGATCCCAGGCACGCAACTATGCACCACTTCTCCGGCCATGCTGAGGCCGCGTCCCATGTACAGCAACTAGAAGGATGTGCAGCTATAACATACAGCTATCTACTGGGGCTTTGGGGAGAAAAAAATAAATAAAATAAAAATAAAAATCAATACAGAGCATCCAAATTCGATAGTGCCAGAGCAGGGTCTAGACATGGGAAAGAATTAAAAAAAAAAAAAGAAAGCTATATTGAGAGAGGTAAATTTTGAATCAGAAAGATCATTCCTTTATCTTATAAATAAATGCTGCCACTTACAATGGGACAAAGCATATGTATTTACACAATTAGCTACATATTGTTATGAAAATAAAATAATAAATTAACTTTTTCTGGTCTCTTTCAGTTGAACAAGATCTCAGTCAAATTGCCTTCCTACATCCTATACTTTAGAACCACCTGGAGAGGGGGCAGGCTCAGGGCAGGGTTTGGGTGCATTGTTTTTAAGTCATTAATCTCAAGAAAGAATGAGCAGGCAGCCTTCTCAGTAGCAAAAGAAAGAAAAAGAAACAACTATTAAACACACTGTCAGATCTGTATGAGTCATCATCTCCTGTTGCCAAAGAAACTGCAGAATATCATATTTTTTTAATCCTAAAAAATGTTAAGACATATCGTTAGCAATAATGTATTAGGGGATGATGATTTTAATAAAGTTTATTTTATGAAATTAGTTGTAATAAAAATACTTGACAAGTTTATCAGAATACAAATATTTTGCAAATCATAACCTCCCTCAGGTTAAAATGTACTTTTAAATATTCATACAGATCAGGTAGTGATCAATTCCTCTATTATTCTCCAATACTTTGTTAGCTGAACCTCTCTCTCTCTCTATCTCTCAATCCTTCTCTCTCTCAATCCTTTTCTCTCTCTCTCTCATTCCCTCCCCTCCCTCTCCCTCTCCCATCTTCCCTTCCTTTCTCTCTCTATCTCTGCTTTTCTTAGGATAAGAGAATGTGTACCTTTTAGATGAGATACACAATCCACAATTGTGATTAATACTGATAATTTATTAGATGGAAAATTTTTGTCAGTGTATGTTTGTGCAAACACTCACATGATAGATAATTAAAACGTTCAATTACACACCTGAGTTTGGACAGTCAGAAACTGCCCTTTGACCACAAAGCCACAGTCATCACATTTGAAAATAAACAACTCAGCAATTAGCAATTTCACTCAACTAAAATTGTGTGTGTAAAAAAGGACAGATTGAAAAGACCATATACTTATGAAAATATCAAATCATTTGTACAAATCTGAATCAAGTAAATTAAAGTAAATGATTCTCAGTGATCTCTCAAAAATTAAATGGAAGAAGGTAATAAGTATCAGCCATAGGTAATGGCATATGAAGAGGAAATGAACAGCGGCTCTGGGCTATGCTCCTAATCCTTGGGAGAAAATTACATAATCGAATCCACCCTCACTCTCTACAGTTTAGTCATTGTTTTAAATGTTTCATTGTATATAAATGGAATTAAATTTAAAAAAAAACTAGATTAAGAGATGAGTCTCTGTATATGATAAGTTTTTATGCACATGTTTCTTTCCAAATGTGGTTCCCTCAAATCTAAGCCAAATGTGAATATATATGACATTTACTTTTCCAGGCAAATTGAATGTATTGTACAACTTTTTATAAAACTTCAAATTCAATTTTTCCATTTCTGTAAAATTATGATATGTTTTTTCTGTTTCAGAAGCTATTGTTATGACAATTATTTCCTAGAGACCTACCACATAGGAGATGCAGAAAGTTTACAAAGAGTAAGTTTCAGGTGATCTCTTTTAAAAATTGTTTTCAAGAACATCATCTATTTTTGAGCAAACGCAGTGTCCCAAATGTGCCCTGCCAACCTATCCACTGTGATCTGGGCCTTTTTCTCCCACCCCCACCAGGCACAGTCATGTTATGCTTTACGCAATTTTAATAATCCCCACTGTTTGCCATTCCTCAAATAGAGCAAGTTCCCCACCTGCCTGGATCAAGAACTCTAGGCACAACCACACTCCCAGTCCCTTGAACACCTGAAAAACACAGTCAGCTCTCTGTGTGTCTTTATCACTCGTAAAGCTTTGCATTACTGCGAGATCATACACTGCAATTACACATTTGTTCCTCTGCCTCCCAACTGGCTTGGAAACCTTCAAGAAAAAGACCATGGCTTTCATTTGTGGATTATTTTATTTTGTCTTTAAACATATAAAAGTGTATAAAGAGGGGCCGGCCCTGTGGCTTAGCAGTTAAGTGTGCATGCTCCGCTACTGGCAGCCTGGGTTCAGATCCAGGTGCACACCAACGCACTGCTTCTCCGGCCATGCTGAGGTCGCATCCCACATACAGCAACTAGAAGGATGTGCAACTATGACATACAATTATCTACTGGGGCTTTGGGGAAAAAAAAAAAAAAAAAAAAGGAGGAGGATTGGCAATAGATGTTAGCTCAGAGCCAGTCTTCCTAAGCAAAAAGAAGAGGATTAGCATGGATGTTAGCTCAGGGCTGATCTTCCTCACAAAAAAAAAAAAAAGTGTATAAAGAATATTACAAACACCATGTAACCATCACCAGCAAAAACGTCATCACAAATATTACTGAAGACTTCCCGGTCCTGTTTATCCCTTCTCAGTCACATTCCCCTACTCTCTGAGGAAATAATCATCTTGAATTTGGTGTTTATCATTCCCATACATGTACTTACACATTTACTATACAAATATATGTGCTCTGTGTCACATTTCTAACATTTATAGAAATGGTACCGTACTCTGTGTAGTTTTCCGACACTTGGCTTTTTTCAGTTACATTGTTGAGATCTATTCAAGGCAATACATGTAGTCCTGCAATTCATTTTCACTGCTACATAGCATTTCTTTGTAACAATATTTCACAATATTCATTTTTTCCTTGTCCTTAAATATTTTTTCTATTTCCAATTTGTCACTACTGCAAGCAATACTGCTATGAACATTCTTGTACAACGCTTTTAGTACAAAGGTATGAGTTAGTCTGGACCAAAGGTCAGCAAAGTTTTTCCATAAAGGGCCAGTTAGTAAGAATTTTAGGCTTTGTAGGCCATATGGTATGACAACTACTCAACTTGGCTATACTGTGAAAGCCCCCACAGACAATACATAAATGAGTGAGAGTGGTACGTTTCAACAAATTTTGTTCACAAGAATAGGCAGCTGACAGGATTTGGCCTATGGGCCCTAGTATGTCCACCACTGCTCTAGAGTAAATTCAAAAGTAGGATTACTAGAATTTATGGTATATACACCTTCAAAATAACAAGATATTGTTACATTGAAATCCTAAGAGGTGTGTACATTTACAGCCCCACTAGCAGTGTATGAACTTTCTTGTCTCTCTACAACTTGATATAGTTGGATATTTCATTTTAGCCATTATAATTGGTGTGAAATGGTTCAGAGCACTACCATTTGGATTTCTCTAATAACTAATGAAATTTAACACATATTCATATGCTTATTAAACACTCTAGTTTTCTCTTTTATGGATTGTCTGCTCATTTAATTTACTCAGTTTCCTTTTAGGTTGTCTATTTCTTATTGAGTTACAGAAATTATTTAGTATAGAAATTCTTGAGTTATAAAGAATTCTTTATTCTTTCTATATATAAATATTTTCTTAAATACAGAACTCAATAAGAATTATGATAAAGATCAGAAAGACATACAAAATATCATAAATATATCTCTGTACATTTCTTCAAAAGATGTAAAAGTTCTGCTTTTAACATTTAGAATTATTGGAATTAGTGTGTATCATATGAGATAAAGATCCAAATTTTTTTTCAAAGGGAAAAACAACTTTCTAGAAACATTTATTGACTGGTCCATTTTTCCCCCAGATCTGCAATGGCTTTACTCTCATGTATCTATGTTCATATATGTGTAGGGATCTATTTCTGAGATTTCTCTTCTTTTCTGTTATCTGTCTATCCCTGCATTGATTCCAAAGTCATGATTACTATAGCTGTATAATAATTATAATTAATAGTATTTTCATTATTGATCAGCCAAAGACATTTTATAATTTCCATTACGACTTTTCTTTTTTTTTATGTAGGAGATATTGTGAAGTATGTTTTTATGTTTCCAAATGCATTGATTTCTTTTATTTATATTTTTGTCATTGATATTTAATTTTACTGCATTTGTAATAAGAGACTATGCTCTGAAGATACCAATTGTTTCCAATTTATTGAAAATATCTTAAGAGATTTTTTTTGTTGAATCTGACCCTCTTTATCTTTTAACGGTAATTCAGTCCATTTACATTTAATACAATTACTAAAAATACACTGGACATGTCCCCAGGCTATGTTGTTTTTAGCAGGGACAATTAAAATGAAGATAGAAGGGATAACTTACATAGATGTTTCATGATTAACTGATGAAAACAAATAAGCAAAGAACTCTAGAAAATTGAGGAAAAGGAACCATAAAAGAACACACACACACACACACACACACACACACACACACAAGTACAGGGAGAGAAAAGTATCAAACTATGGGGAAAGAAAATTTAAGAAGCATATAGAGATTATGAGTGTCAAATAGTGCTGACAGATCTTGAAAGCTTAGTAGAAAGGAAAGTTCAGAAGCCAGAATGCAAGGGGTTGAGGAGTAGACAGAGGTTACAAGTGGGGAAAAATTAAAGTACTCTCCCCCTCTCCCGAATTTGTAAATGCCATTAAGGGGAATCAGAGTTTAACCAGTAAA